TGGCGAGTGTCCCGGCCAGCCCGCCCCCGGGCCGCAGAACCCGAGGGGAGCCCCTCTTTGCACAGCGCTCACCTAGTGCAGCAGTTCAACCAGCAGACAATGAAAAGCCTTTCACTTACCCGAACTTCTTCTGCTTTCCTCCTCCCAGCGCCCCGCAGATCTCCGCTCCAGCCGCCCGCTCCTCCCCGGGCACAGCTGCCCCTCATCAGCCCCAGGTGCCGGCTCCAGCCCGGCTCATCCCCCCGCACCCACCCCAGCAGAACCTCACAACTCACCTGCCTCGAGTTTTTTAGCCTATAGCAAGAGGAGGCACATCTAATCCACACCAACTTGTTTGTTTTAGTATAAAGGCGTCTTTTATTACAAACACTTAAATCAAGTAACTCGGTGCACGGAATTTAAGTGTACAAAGTGCTTGTGGATTTTCTGAACCTCACTGCTACAGGCTCTCTAACAACCCCAGCTCGGGTTCGAGCACCTGAATCACACAACGCAGAATCCCCCTCACGTACATACACGTGGAGGGCACACAGCGAGCCACTGTATTATTATCTCATTTTGCAAATATTGCTTCAGATTCAACGAGACGTGTGACTACACATTTCCAAGGGACACAACCATCCATTTATTTGCTTTAAAGTGAAGATAATATGTGCAGTAAAACAACCCAATATAAATAAATAAGTTCTAAAGGATTTCAGTTCTAGTTTACATAGTAAAAACCTCAAAATCATCCTTGAATTTACAAAAAATAGATTTATACTAGCGCAGACAGTATAAAAATAATTTGTGTCTTCATTATTAAGATAAACTATTAAAACAAATATCAGAATAAATAGCAACAAAAGTTAAATTTAGTATTTTTCTTAATAAAAGCTGAAGTTTAAAAGTCCACTCCTACAACCATACACAGGTGTATGATTGAACACGTACCAGTAGGAGGATTTGCCCTGGTTTTTTGAATGCAGCGACAAGGGCAGGTGCCGCCTAAAGCCCGAGGCAACTCGTTCTTGGCATGGTGGGTTGCGAAGCTCTGACACCCCTCTTGGCTTCCTGTGGGAATACAGCCCCAAATATGTCTTCATGGTATCGCTTTTGGCTCTGCAAAGACAGAAAGGAAACGCGAGAGGTGAATTAGATACTGCGAGCTCCTCCTCACGTAACCGGTGAGTAAGGGGTCTGCTGCCCGCGTGGGACTGGCTCTGAGAGGGAGGCCTCCTGCTGCGCTGGGGGAGAGGAGGAACCTCTGAATCCCAGACACAAGCTGCAGGACAAGCTCTGACACGAGAAGGGGCCGCCGGCCGGCTGGAAGGAACGCCTCGCCTATCACAGAATCATTGGGGTTGGAAGAGACCCCCGGGATCCCGCAGCGCACCTTGAGCTGCAGGAAATACTCCTCTGCCTGCTGCTCGCTGAGGTTCAGGTTTCTCGCAAGCATCCGCTTCAGCGCCTGAGCCACGTCCCTGGCCATGTGCACGTTTCCGCAGACGTACAGATGCCCCTCCTCCTTATGCAGGAGGTTGCACACTTCGGTCTCCAACTTGCTTTGAAGAATGTCTTGAACATAGACCTTGGAAACAAAACCAGGAATATCAGAGGAGGCTTCTTAAATGCCGCTTGGGCTGCTGGCCCCTCTAAATCCCGTGTGGGTCTGCGCGGGAAGGCTCTAAATGCCTGCTCTGTTCCAGCCGTGTGCTGCACCACGGCAAAGGAGAAGAAAAATGTCTTGACGCTCTCTAGAAGCCCCAGATGTGCAGGCTAGACTTGTCTCCTGATTAAACTAGAGCAGGCTAAGACTCTTCTTTTTTAGAACAAGTTACAAGTGCCAAAGTCCCCCAGCTTGCCAGGAGAGCAGGACAGCTAAAAAGAGGACAGCTTGCGGGCTGCTCTTTTCTCCAATCAAGAGTCCATCTTAGCAAAATTAATTTCCAGGGTCACTGTGTCATGGAAACGGTGACAAATGTCCAAACCCAATTAAATTCTAACTCACAGGCTAATCAAATCCTGCAAAATTTAAGGATTCTGCAATGTCCCAGCTTCCAGTTGCAAAGGCTGTTTGCACTTGACGTGCCCCTCTGTGGCAGCGAGGGGTTTGCGTTTCTGTAGCTTGCTTGTGCTGAAGCCTCAAGGAGCAGGGCCTTTCATCACTTGTTCCCACCCTATTGTAACAAAATGCTAATGATTTTTTTAAAGAACACTGTTTAACAGAGCCCAGGTGTTAATGTGAGGGACCGTTGTGGAAGGAGCCAACCCTCGGAGAAGCAAGGACCCAGCCTTACTTTAGCCTGGCCAGGCTGCCTGGAGTACGCTGTGTACACTTCTTTCAGGACTCCCTTCCTCTTCATTTCCTCAGTCTCTTCTCTGTAGATGTGATCCGTGTCCGGCTGCCGGCAGCCGAACAGTAACGTCATGTCCCCACCTTTGATCCCTGAAACCAACATTGGGAAGTTTTTTGTCTTTCCGGGTAAGGGCCGTTACCTCTTACGACTGTTCCCACAGAGGGCCCCGCGGTGGCAGTGACCAGCTGTGCACAGCTGCCTGCTCCACACCTGGAACACTGCCTTCCTTCAGTTTTCATCCCCACACCTGCAACACCGTGTTCAGCTTTGGTTTTTGCTCTACAGAGGTGTGGGCAGGCTGGAGAGTGTCCAGAGAAGGCACAACGACAATCAAGGGACTGGGGAGCCTGTCAAACGAGGGCAGGCTGGGAGAATGGGCTTGTTTTGTTCAGCCTTGAGAGAAAGCGGCTTAGGGGAGACCTTATCACCATCTCCTGGTGTTCAAAGGGTGGCTACAAAGAAGACAGAGACTCCCTTTTTACAAAGAGTCCCACGGAAAAGGTGTGGGGTAACAGGTACGAGTCACTCCTGGGCAGGTTCTGACTGGACACAAGAGGAACATTTTTCCCAATGAGAACAATCAGCCATCGGAATAATTTCCCTGGGGAAGCAGTGGATTTCCCAGCACTGGGCACTTTTAAGATTCAGCTGGACAGGGGGCTGGGCCAGCTTGTCTAGACCAGGCTTTTGGCAAGAAAGGTTGGACCAGATGATCCTTGAGGTCCCTTCCACAATTCTATGATTTTCTAATTAGTACTTCTCACTGAACACCTGAGAAGGAGAGTGTGTGGCAGCTTCTGATTTTAGGGTCTGGCAGTAGGACGGAACCTGCCCAAGTCCTTGGAGAACTAAGTGCAATCACCTGTTGGAGCAGGTTCCCCAACAGGGCTGATAACAGGTGTGGTATTTACAGGGACACACGGGCTCCTCCCTCCGAGTGACCAAACACCTCGAGACCACCAGGAGGGTCTCAGGTAGGACGGGTTGGCTCTTTCAGTCCGATCAGTTTTGGGGTGACAAATCTCTGTGGGGTTTACTTGGCTAATGCTTCTGGGTGTCTCCAGGTTTTGTGGGGAGCACTAGGGATGCTTTCTGCGGCCGGACGGGCTGTGCCCTCCCTCTTGTGGCAATCCCCTTCAGTACCTTTCTTCTCCAGGTCATACAGACGCTGCAGCCAGAAACTTCTGAAAGGAGCAATTCCTGTTCCTGGGCCGATCAGAATGCAAGGCTTGGCTGGCTCCTTTGGGAGCCGGAATTCATCAGCCCTAAAACGGAAAAATACGTTAATGAGGCAATTTGTTTCTGACTGACCTCTCAGCGTCAGCTTCCTGAACGGCTCGGAGCAGCACAGCCCAAGTTACCAATCTGAAAACAGCAATGGGGCTCAGCTTCTCAGCTTGGTGACGGCTGCTTCTTGTTTCCCGAGCTTCATTTGCTGTAGAGTGGATATGCTGGCAGTGGAGGTGTCATATGAATAGAATTCTTTTAGAATTTTCTAATGATTTATGATTTTATTCAACAGAAGATACGGTCAAGGTTTTCATCTCTGGAAAACAAGGAGTTCCCTCTGTTCTCAAACACAGATATTCCAGCCTGCACTCACTAGTCACTTGAAAACCATAAGCAAACAATGAAAAAAAAAAAACACTGAAGAAGCTGAACTAAGAATTGCTTGTCTGGGTTTATTTTTCCTTTTCTTTCTTCTCTGTCACACACTCACCTGCGCACAAAGCATGGAACTGTCTCGTTGAGAGCTATTGTGTTCAGCCACGTGCTGCAGACTCCGTGGTGCAAAGGCCCTTGTCCGTCTGACAATAGCAAAGGAAAACACCTCCGTCAGTATTCGAAAGCCCTCAGTTTTTAAAAGCAGCCCAGTTTATACTTAACATTGTATGTTCTGAGTAAGTGTGTATCTAGCAATGATTTATAAACCAGCATACACTGATGATGATGCGAGGTTTTGGCAAACCCTGCCCTGCCCTGCAGTATGCAGTTCTGCACGTATCACGACCCAAACCCTTTGTCACAGAAGTGCTTCACGCCATCGGGCAGACACAGGTTTTTTCTGAACCGCAGTGCCATCTAAATACCTTTAATTAAGAAGGAAACGAAAGCATCAGTTCCTTACCTCTTGTCCTGTAGTTGACAACTGCAACCGTCAGATGGATCTCTCCAGGCGTCACGTCACAGGAGGAGCTGACAGAGTAGTACCGGGGTTTCAGGGGCGGCAGCTGGGTCAGTAAGAAAGACGTTGAGACCTCAGCAGAAGGAAACTCCTCCAGGACCTCCAGGATGTTCGGGCTGTTGTAAAACTTCCATTTATTGTATTCTTCTGTGCTCTAAAAGCCAAAGGTCATCAGCAAAACGTTAGCAGGTCATGCTGAGTTCAGGGGAGCGGGGATATTTGGGATGTCGCGTACAGACAGGACTCCTGCTTTACGTTCCGCACGCGAATCAGCAGAGAATTCTCACAGCTTTGTCTAGACCAGTACTGGGTGTTCCTAAGAACTGGTCCAGTTTTTGGAAATGCAAATACAGAATGCCAGTTGGAATTTTCTCAGATACCAGCTCTTTCAGTGAGGATGTAGAAACTGCAGTGGGATTTGTTTCTCAGCCCGCTGCTGTGGGACATCCACAGAACTGCGTGGGCCCAGGCCCTGACTGGCTGTGCCTCGCTGAACCCAGAAAGCAGAAGCAAGCACTTACCCAACCTCTGAGTCCTTGGTTACTTAAAGGCACATCCCTCTTACTCTCACGATACCACATTCTCTGACAAAAATACCTACCAGCTCCCCTCTAGCCCCTCCACCTGCCAGCTGTGGGACATTTTAATGGTGCATCACCAGAAACCACCACGAGGCGGGCAAGAGAATGGGCTGGGCAAAGTGGCCCACCCAGAGCCACCCAGGAAATAGCAGATCTGAAGAAACCTCTTGATTCCCACGCCCAAGCTGAGCCACAAGACCGCCCTTTCTCCCCCTGTGGTTTTACAAACACAAAGAACACGTAACAGAGGGATACAAATCAAGCACCATCGCTGCAAAAATTTCTTAAGCTTCTCCTGCAGAGTAAAGGGCCATGAGAGGGTCAGCGCCCAGCACCCCTCACCTCCAGCCCCAGCGCCTACCTGACATAAAGCTGCCAGTCTCTGTTTGTCTCCTTCCGCTGTCACCAGCGGCAAGAGTTTTTTTAGCAGTTGTTGGGACGGTGGAGTAGTGATATCAAGGAAGTATGTCAAAGCCTCGGAGAGCGTGCAGACTGGAATCTTTTTGTCACTTTTCCAGTAGCCACCTGGAAACGAGGGAAAATAAAGGAACGCTTGGCAATCCCCACGGCAGGTGACAGCTGTGGAGCTTTGCAAAACTCAGCATCCCTCAAAGCACGACTTCAGCCTAAGTTGCAGCAGGTCTAGAGCACAGGGCCCTCCTGAAAAGGTGTCAATGGGACGTTTCAAACTTTGGTAAGGGGAGCATCTGATGCAGAGAACTGCACGATGACAAAACACTACTGTGAAATGAAGAGTCTTTCATTTGAGGAAATCATCTTTCTGTGTGTCAGAACCGCAGGATTTAGCGTGTTGTTCCTAGCAAGATGGAAAAGACGGTCATGATATAAAAATCTATTCTAGGACTCCGACATGTAGCAACAATAAGCAAACTCTGTTGATTAATTTAATCACAGTCCATGGCCAATTCAGCAACTGAATTACAGCGTCAGCCTGCGATAATGTTGGTGAAGCTACCATGGACCGCCAGAGCACACAAAATCAGAATCAAGAACTGTAACTAAAAGCATCAACAAAACCCTACTGAAACTTAAGAAAAGGTTAAGAGGATCAAATTCAGTCTATAAAAATTCTCAGGAATTTTAGAGAAATGGGTCAAACATCCTCTGTTACTGTGTCTAAAGGGAACCATCTTACCACTGGTGCAGGTTTCGAGTCTGATGGCCTGCCCAGCTGGAGGGGCATCCTTCACGTGCGCAATGAGGCCACAGACTAATTCTGGCTGGTTGCCTGGGCAAATCCCGATGTGTTCTCCGGGCAGGTAGCGCACTTCCTGACTGGTCTCACAGGAAAGCTTAACCAGGATGGTAACGTGACTAGATATAGAAAAAAAAAAAGAGATCAGACAGATCTTGGTTATGTCGACAGGATTTCCCTTGAATTGTGCAGAAAAGGAATAAACCTGAAGTGACGGTTGGCAAGGGCTTGCTTGTGCTCGTTACCAAATCCTCAGACCAGCTTAGTACTGCATGGAGGCATAAACAAATAATACTCCAGATATGTGAAGTAGCAAAACAAATAAGGTGCTGAAGTGCTGACTGATCTGTTCAGTATAGAACAAATGTGCCTCTGTCAGGCCAGGGAAAGGCAGTGCAGCTCTCCTGAGGACTGGGTAGCTCACACTGCAAACCAGCTCAGAGGGCTTGCCCTAAGACAACTGTATTTAGACAGTTTTAACTCTAAAGAAGTAAATGTTTACCTAGTGTGTCACATACCATGCAAGGGAGAGGGACCATGCACCTGATCTTCCCCATTTAGCTGGTGGAAGTTATTTATTTCCCTACGGTCCCAGATACTCTGCTGAGATGTCAGCTCCCATCCAAACCAGAGCTAAGACTCTACGTATTCTTGAGGTCTTGTGAGAATGGCTTACTTCTACTAACTCACGTATATTTCTTAATAACTGCAGGGAGAGGATGTTTAAAGGCAGGCATTTCAGATATTTTAGATTTTAGTAAAATGTAGTATTGCAATATTCAAAAGAAGGAGGTATCATACCTGGATTTTAAACTTTGAAGATTCTGTCTGAATTTCAGCCTCATGGGAATCACATCCTTTGCGTGAATGTTTCCAAGTGCTGTTGAGGAAAGAGGACATGACTCATGGCAATTTTGTGATTAAGTTTCCTTAAAACGTCTACAAGTGAGCCATGCTTGCCCTAGAATGCAATATACTTGTAATCAGCTACGTGCCCCATACACATGCCTCTCCTGACTACAAGTAGCTCATCTCAGCTTCTGTTCTTCTGGGGCTGTCAAAATGTACACCAGTTCTGATGCTCTGATATTATTGCACTGGAAAATACGATTTATGCAATGTAAACCAGTGTCTTTTCTTCTCTGACCACTGTACGTTATTATAGGCATTCTACCATCTAGAAGGACCAGGATGAGTTCTAGAAAACCTTAAGAGTTCAGGCCTTTCTGAAGCAAAAAGGACAGAAGAAGTGGAAGGTGGGAGGCAATACCTTTGGCCAAGTCCATGGTTTGAGAGTCGGGCACTATCCGGTAATTCTCAGGATCCCAGCTTTCATCAGAGGTGTACATCTCAGGCAACTGAATACTGGCTTTCCCATGGATGTTAAAAACGTCACAGGCAGTCTAGAAGAAATAAAAAAATAAAGCTATTTATAGTAAAAAAAAATAAAAATTCTCAGTGTTGTCGTAATGCTAATAAGGAGATACCAGGTTCACAGATTGCTAGTTTTTACTCATTCTGTTGAGTTCAGTGATGTTGTAGGTGTTCAGTGAGCTCAGTAAGGTTCCACTTCTCTATCAGCTAAAAAACCGATCTACTTCAAAAAATTCTGATGTTTGATGACACCACCCTTGTTCATGCTGAGCATTCTATTATCCAGAAGGTTTCATGCAACTTTATATGACTATTAAAAAATAATAGAAAAAGGGCCCAGTTTAAGGCTGAGCAGGCAGCAGAAAAGAGGGGAACCTGAAATTCAGATATAAATCCAGATATTTGTTTTCCTTCGTTTTCCTCCATTTTCATGGGAATATTGAAATAAAATGAATGAACTAAGACATGAGCTAACACTTTATAGACTCGCCTTGAATGCAGTGACAGCCCACGTGCAAAAGGCTTCTTCTTGCCCACTGAGTTCATCTCCTTCCCCTACTGGGGTGAGCTGAGAAGCCCCGAGTTGGGCCAGTTTTTGGTCAATGGTGTGAGCAAAGGCACAGAACTCTGGATACACGCTGGACCCCAAACCAAACACGGCGTATCTGCAGGAGGGCACAGAAAGAAGATCACTATGTTATGCTAAAGGCCATGCAAAAGGAACCAATCACATGCAAAGCAAACAACACAAGTATTTGTACCTAATTTTACTTTTCAGTGATTTCAGGGTGAGCAAGGAGTTCTTCAAGGTCTGAAAAAAATTTCACAAAATACTTAAGGTTAGACAAATACTCTGGTTTAAAACAAGGTCCATGTCTTACTCAAGGACATGGGACAAATGAAAGGATTGTCTTTGGACTCATTCTTTCTGTTGAGCCTCGTATATACTTCTGAGGTGACCCTTACCTTCCCATTATTTGGAGAATCTCCATTTCCAAAAGTGCTAGTAACCACTAAAAGAAGCGTTTCCTTTTCCAGGTTGCCAACTTTGTACTCATCCATGCGCAGAATCTGGAAGGTATAAAGCTCATGAGAAATTGGTAGCAGACCTAAGAACTAGCAGTAGATATCTGTGACTGTCTGACAACTGCTGACCAAATCCACAAGCGTTGTACTAAATGAATGCAAAATCAAAGTTCTAGTCGAACTTATATTTATTCAGAACATAGGTTTGGAAAATGAAAAAGCTTGTGGAAGCTGACAAAACTAGTCGAACTTCTTTCTCCATTTAGTGTGGATGATTTATACTTTCTCACCTCAGTGTTGAAGGCGCAGTTGAACAAGTTGCGCAGATTGTTGGCCAGTGTTTCTGATTTCCCAGTCTCCGTCGCATAGATTACAGTGACCTTGGCCCTGGCTGCCATCACTCGTCGCATGAGTGAAGATGCAAAGAGTACAGCTCTAGGGAAAAAAAACAATCACACAGATTTTTTAATAATAGCTATGCAGTAATTCAGACTGAGCCGCAAGCAAGTTATGAAAAACTGATAGCCCGAGCATACTTTTTCCTTGGAAGATTGTTCGGAAGCAATACACCACAGGTAGCCCTGAATAAGAACGTTAGATACGAATATCACCTACCTGTGGACAGATAAGTCTATAATTTGAACAATTCAAGTGGTTGGAATTGTAGTAATTATCTAAAAAAACTGTGGAACAAAAACATCACGAGACTAGAATAGTCAGATAAAAGCATGAAGACTCTTATTTGAACATCTTACTTTGCCAAGATGCTAAATTTTATTTCTTTTTTCTTCGGCCTCCGGGTCTCATCATGCCAGACATGTGTTTTCCATGCATCCACCTGAAAAAAGAAGAACAAGCTAAGCCTCAGGTAAGAAACACGAAATATTAAATACGCAATTTCTGTATCTTCTAAAGGCCCAGATCAAGTAGAATCTGTATACAATTCAGCGTGTACAAACACAGGATCAGTCTCTGCAACACTAAACTGCATTTCACTTGCAGGTTGAGAATTCAACAAAATTCCCATAACCCTCTGCAGTACAACTGGTATCGCTGCTACTTCTGAATCTCTGTTGAACTTTCATGAACCAGGGCTTTTCACCTGGACTCCGTCAGGTCCCATATAACGACCTGCACTGCCCAAGCTGCCTCCTGAGATCATATCTTTTTGTGTGAAATGTACCTGGTAGTAATAGAAGGGAGTGAGGACATAGTTCAACATCTCCTGGTGGAACACGGGAGTTATGCTCCCTGATATAGGGGGAACAATCCACACCCAGTCGGCCGGGCAGCCTCCCCGCAGGCGATACTCGCTCTGCATGTACTTCATGAAGGACTCGGCAGCCGAGTGGTGATCCATGATGGTCACGTTCCTTTGCTAGAATAATGGAAAACAGAAAGACTCACATTAAAAAGCCCACTCTCCTCTTCTTCCTGAGGTAGTTAAAGTAATCCCTTTGCTTTGGTTAATATTTCAAGGACTTTATTCAGTGCTGGGAAATAATTACTAACAGCAACTATTAAGCAGATAGTTGCTCAAAGTAATTCCTATCAGCAATTACTATATAGATACAGACCGAGGCGGACCTTTAAGAACTCTCAACGTCCTGGATTTTCTTTTTTTTGGTAACATCAGCATTTTACCTCTCCAGCACTGGGAGTGTGTGCTGAAAAGCCCCTGATTCATTTTTACCCATCGTTCATACTGTTATGATTTGTTAAACACTAACTGTAAGTAAAAGATATTAATCCAATGAATTTACATTTGATGCTTAGATGTATATGTTAAAAGGATGAACAATCTTGCCCTTAATTTCCTTTTGTCTTTCTCTACCTGAGACGTTTTCTGGCAACAACAGGAAATACTTTCCCTGGTGTCAATCAAGAGTAACTCCTTTGGAATCCCACTGATAACCTCCACTGCACATTGGTTCACCGGAACTGTGTTTGTACAAAGCTGTTACAAGTGAAAGGCAAAAGGGACACACACTATTCGGTGTCTCTCCGGATATCACACGCGGTGACTTACTTGGAAGCTATGAAGCACAGCTACGTTTATCTCTACAACAGCTCGGTCTTTCCATAGCGATGAAATTCTGTTTGTTTCCAGTCCCATTCTTCTTCCTACCTCCTATATGGGAAAAGGAGAGAGGAAAGGGGAAAGCAGATTTACTGCGTGTTTCACCATTCCATCTGGTTATTTGGAACAGATCGTGTCAGAACACTCGAAAAACAGTCGGACAGTCTGGCAGCCATAATCCTGGTAGAAATTCAAGATGTCCCACAGTAGCCAGGAATCGTGACAGGTTAGCACTGACGTGTTAGCAGGATGTAAATACCCCAGCAAACGCCTATGGCATCGCTTTTTCCAAGCCTCTGCACCCACCAAATCCATTCCCTTCTCAGGTCAGCACACCCCCGCTGCAGCAGATTTACCTTCAGGACGTTGTATCGCTGCACGTCGCACAAGTCTCGCACTCCTATCTCTGTCCCCATGTACCAGCCGTTGAAGGGACACCCAGTGAATTCCAGGCCTCCCACCTCGAGAAGCATATTGGCGACGGCGGGCAGCGCGTACCACTTCAGATCTAGCTCCTTAAACCACTCGTACCTGTTAAACAAGCAGTTGGGTTGATTTACATGCCTCTTCCTTCTCCAGGCAACAGCCAGCGAAGTCCAGGAAGATGAAAAGTACGAGCTCGAGGAGTAACGAGCCACAAAGCACAGAGCTCAGAGCAGTTTTTGCTTACAATGCGGTAACTGGGAATTGCCCGCTAAAGAAATTGCAGAACAGTGCTACTGAGTTCTGCAAACATGAAGAAAAAAACAGAGGGAAGGCAATAAACATTTCGCCGTGAGTGCAGCCATATGTTACATGTGTATTACACTGGCTTAAGAAATTTTGATTTTTAAAATTCTGAATATGATTGTAATGTAGATAAGGAGAAAAGCACTTCCAACAACTTCCAACAGCTTCTTTAATGTATATCTCATTTCGTTATCCTAGCAGGCATTTTATCTTTCAGGACAATTTACCATAATTTCACTCTAACAAAGAACTGCTAAAATGACTGCCACAGGCACAGGTTAATAACCTGCCAAGGTGAGGCAGAGGCAAAAATGCAATTAGCTCAATCTCGTGTGCTTACTTTGGATGCTCCAATGGCACTTCGAGGACAATTCCTGGCGGGAATTCAAATATTTCTGGGTCTTGGCCGTTTGCTTGGAGAACGAGTGGAACTACATCAAAGCGGCCATACTTTGGCTTCCACCCAAGATCAATGCACAACTGGAAAAAAAGAAAATACATTTTGGGGTTTTTTAAGTTCCCTCCCTGGGTTTGAAGACAAAAGAAATATTAACCAGCCTAGAACATGTGGGAGAGAACGTCCCACTCTGTCCTCGCAGCCACACTTCCCTCCTGCCCTACGGAAACATGCAGGAAAAGAACAGTTTAGAGGAAAAGATGGGCTCAAGAAGACAGAAAGCAGCTGTGATGCTGCAGTTGGAGCTGTACCTGTGTGAACTCCACGCTGGCAGGGTCTCCTACGATAGACCCATCTGGCATTTGATAGCCAGCGTATCGGATGAGCTGGCTGTTCCAAATACGAAAATCGTGTTTCCCATCAGTCCTCTGGGGGAAGACAGTGATGGCTGATCTGCCCAGAGAGACACCACAGCAGCACGTCAAACACATTCTAATTCTTAAGACTTAAATGATTACCAACAGCAATTATTTTATATTTCTAAACCAAGTACCAGTAGAAATAAAACCATTTATCCTCTCTACCCACCTCCCTGAATCTTCAGATCATCTTTTCCCCAGGAGTTACAAAAGATTTTGCAACGTCAGCCATGAAAGTTACAGAATTTCAAAAGGGTTGATGGTACACATGAGGAACATAGAAGTACCAGGAGACCTAAGAGCAGAGTTGTCAAAATACTTAGATAGACCATTTGGGGTGTTGTGTAGACTTTTGAATCCAGATCTGTATGTGATTTTTGCTGTTTAAAGTAAAAATTAAAGAGACCTACCTTATATTTCCATTGTTCGTGGCATACTGGATATGATGGCAGATATGCTCAAACATTTCCTTCGCTGTTTCACAATCACGTGCATCAAATACCTGTTTCCAAAAGAAACGTAAAGGAAAAAACCTCATTTTCAAACTCTAATGTAAGCTCGTTATTTTTCTCTTGCATTTAAGGAAAGGAAAGATTAAGGAAAAATTGAAATGAAAGATCAGTATTTCCCAACTTTATTGTAGCTCCAGTAAGAAGGGTGTGTTTTTATTGTTCTTATATGCACCATTTTCACAAGTAACAGCCCTCCAAGGACCAAGACATGCACCTCGTTCCGTGCCATGGCTGGTTCCTGCGCTAGCACTCCTACACATTTTCTTTCAACGATGAAGCAGATAATTACAAAAATATGTTGACCCTATGCTCTGTACAGGAGGGAGCAGTCCTCAGTTGAAGCAACCGGAACATTTCGCTGAAGTAAAGGACGTGCTTCTGACTGACAGCAAATGACTACTGGGCCCATAATGTCCAGATACGGAGTTACCTGCAGGTTGGACCACTGGATTCTCCCGATGCACCGAGGCGCGTTCCTCCAGGCCTGCTTGGCAGCAAAGATCAGTTCGTCCTTTGTCAGCCGGTAGGTTCCTGTTGTTTCGATCTCCTTGGTCACGGTTTCCAGTCGGACCAGGTGTTCTTCTATTTTTGGCCTTTTGAACAGGAAACAGCCACGAAAAGGAAGAATGAGAATTTTGTTATTTAGACTGATTTAAATTGCAGACGTTCTCCTTATATTCTTGGTAAGAAGAGCTTCTGAGCATCCTTTTGCACGAGAAGACTCTGCCTTACATCGCTGATTTTACCTGCCAGGGAAGGGATTAGCATCTATGTGGGCTGGGATATGGGAAGTTTGGATAAACAGTGAGAAGCCTGTTCCTGTTCAAAATCCACGCTCTCCAGATGTAGGTCACCATGAAATACCCATCCCGTATGACAACATCCATCACCTCAGGAAGTCAGCAACTTCTCTGGGCTGCAGGTGTGAGAAGTCACCGAGAGCCGCTGCCCACCTCCCCTCCACTGCCCCAGAGCAGAGCTGCCGCCTCTCGCAGTGGTCTAGGGCCTGGGACTTCTTTCAAAAAGCAGGGGGAATTCTAGGTAAAGGGCTGAGCTGAGTACACAGGACTCTGCTGAGGAGAATTTCTCCTGGCTTTGTAACTTAGGAACTGTCCTTATTGGGTGCTAATGACAGAGCTTATGAGACTAATGAAGGAACTAACACACTAGAAATTTAAGTAGAGACACCATCCTTTTGCCAACAAACACATACGTGGAACGATCACAAGCTTTTCTGTGGAAGTTTTCAGTTTCAATTTGGATTTTCTAGCTTAGTTTGGAAAAGTTTGTCAAATCACGAGCAAACAGAAAGCAGAGCACAGCCTAGCTTCAGCTCCAAAGTAGGATTATTGTAACTGTCCTCTCAAAATTCTATTATTTTCACAGGGACACAGCTCTTCTGAGCAAAGTAAGTAGGATTTTCATTCCTAAAAGGAAGTGCTGAGCAATTCCTTTGTTAGGGAAACAGAGTCTAAAATTCTTTAGCTTGATAACAGAGAATGAAGTCAAAATATTAGGAAGTATTTATCACAGCACAGACAAAAATTGTTCTGTTGGCTTGCAGACAGAGTGAAAACAGCCTGCACTGTCTGAGAGTTTTCACATTTTCAGCAAGATGAAAGATCAAGGGCAAGCATGTAAGATAGTGTAAATCAGTGTGATCACATAGCCATGAGCAGGAACACAGAGATGTGCAAATGCAATATGCTGGCAAGGGAGCACAGCCCGCGTGTTAGATAGGGACTTTCAGAAAGATTCAGAGGGAAGAAAGCTTTGTAGAAGAGTTCAAAGTGTCTAAATAAATAGCCATTATGTGGCCAAGTTCCTTTGAAAATCTGATAATATTTTATAATGGGATGAGCAAACATTGAACTGTCACTTGAAAGTTTGTCATGGGAAAACTTTGTCATTGCAAACTCCTGGACCTGAACATTCCAGCTGGACATTCCAGCTTTTCCTGCACCAAGATGTCTCTGCCCCATACCCATTTTTGCAATAACAAACCTCTTTTCTGAAGCTAGAGCATCCCTCCCAGCATGCTCATAAAGCGCAGGTTGATGATAGCACAGAGCAAGGTTGAGAAGCAAGAGACTGGCCTTCCATGCTTTGGCTAAAGCCTTGAGAGTCAAAACAGAGAACAAAAGAACACAGAGAAAAGATACATGGAGCAGCACAAACAAAAAGCATTATCCACATCATTCACGTCTAAGAGCAATCTGAGAGGAGCTACTCCCGTTGGCGTCCAGCGTCAAGAAAGCAGAAGGTCATGTTCTGCAAGAGTCCCAGCCAGGCTGCTGGTTGTGAGCACGCTAGAAGGCAGCACCCTCGGGAGGGATGGGGCTGAGGAAAGCCCAGTGCAGAGTCCATTTCTGGATCCACACGCCTGGGATTGGCAGATACAGCACAGGAAGTGCAGCAACGGCTTCAATTACCTTTTCTAATAGTCCTTATCTATTTATCGAATGCACACTATGCGCAATTACTGACAGCTCTGAAGAAACCGAACGCTCCTACGGCCTCACAGCCACGTAGGTAGGCAGAGGACTTTTATATCAGAAAGGAAGGCGAAGTTGGCTTACTCTTTGAATGAGCTGTAGTATTGCCTAATGAAGTCTATCGCCTGAGGTAAAAGCTCTGCCGGTGGAACCGGCCCATCTCTGGGACCTTTCACCAGGTTCTTTGGGGTCATGAGAGCCCCTTGGCAGGCTTTGGTCCGACAGTTGATAACCTGAAAAACAGTAAAATGTCAAAAATCGATGGTGCACCATTTGTCTTTTCAAAGTTTTGAAAAATTGCTGTTGAGGTTTCCATTCTCACCTCCTTTGCTGTCAGGTGTAGTGTGTCAAGCAAGCTGGATCCGTTTTGCAAGTTTCTTATTTCTACATGTTTTGGGCATCTTGATATTTGGTTTGAAGCTTTGATACCATTTTGAGGAGGGTTCTGAGAAGAAAAAAAGATGAAAATACATACTGTCTTCAGACCTATTAAATATCTTCCAGCTTCATATTACGTATTATTGGACCATTAAAACACTACAAATTAAATTCAAGAAACCAAGTATAAATGGGACCTTCTCCAATGTCAGTTATTTATTTGAGTACAAAACTACTGACCTAATGCAGAGTTTCATAAGAAATGGGGAAAAAAGTGCTTTTGTACTAATCAAAAAATATTTATGACTGCAAACCCCTTTTAAATTTCAGTAAGGCCTCTTAACATAACAGTCACAGTCTCAGGAAAAGTGAGCCAGACAGCTTTAGAGAAGGGCCACATTTCTTACTAAAGGCTTGGCTCTCAGAGGTGAATAAAGGAGCCAGGCGCTCCGATCCCACTGGGTCATAAAATTCCCTCGAGTCTTTCCCAAGCAACTTTTTGCTGAGAAAAGATCTGTCACCCAAAGCTCTCACAGCAGTTCCACCCTTGTGTAAGCCATGGCCAGTCCTCACACAGGAGCTTTGAGGAGTTCTAAGGAGAAAGCACAACCCACATTAAAAAATTACACTAAAAACAGACCTCTCTGCCATCGCTGGCCTGGGCTGGAGTTACAACAGGCGGCATCTCTGTCTGCTTCCTGCTCACATGGTGTAACTTGGCATCATCATTTTCTAAGCTTTAAAAGAGAGAAAGACAATTCAGTGTAATGCCATATGCTCAGTTTTCGCTAGTTTTACCTGCAGTACCAGCAGGGAGACGCTCAGAGCTGACCATAAAAGATGTACCGAGCCAATAAGCCGACCGCCTGCAGCAGCACGAGGGCTGGAGGGGATTAAAGTCAGTAGTAAAGCTACAATCACCCATTCCAGATAACTATGCGAGAAGCAAAACAGCAGATATAGCCTGGAATGGCAAAGGCTGAGTATCATCGCTGTGAGCTAAATGAAGGACATCTGTACAGTTATGATCTGGACAGAAAATACCCAGAAGAACTAAACAAAAAGATTGAAATCTTCAGGAAAATGTGTGACAACTTCAGCTAGCTCCAGTCTCCAGCCCATTAAGCAAATAACATGCTTTTATAATAATTTCCTTTGTTTTCTGCATGAAGTCTTACTTTCTCAATGCCAAGCTTTTAATTTGGGTATCAGCTTCATGTCTGAATATAAACTGCTTTGAGCAATGACAGGGAATGGGCAGAGAAACAAGAAAGGGTATGTTACAGAAAACCAGAATGAGTAACAGCCTGACAGCTGAGAACTTTGATATGTATATGCAACTTATTTTATACAGTGTCTTGTATAAATCATACCACAGACATAGTTTGCCAACTTAACTGCAGCACTGACAATCACTTTACTCATTTTTACAGCATACATGTCCCTCCCGAGTCCTAGCACACCAAATAGCACATCACAGCACACCAAGTAACTTTAGAAAGGGAGAGCAAGATGATTCCCCAGTGATCGTATAATCCAGGCACAAAAGCTTAAATGTGCTTTCTCAGGTCAAGACCACCCAGTGACCCCCGGGGGCAACTGGTCTTTGGTTAATATTATTGCTTTGGAAACGCGTTACAGGTTTCTCCAGAACACGTCACTTAATAGCTTTCCTTTTCAAATGAAAGAGAAACTATGAAGCCATTAAAAGACAAAGCTCTTACCTATGGATCTTCCTATTTTTCTCCACATTATTATTGACATCCTTTTCTTCAGAGGGCCGGTTCCTCGCAGCACGAGGTTTGAACACAAAGTGCCACGGGCACGACATTTTGTATGCTTTATTTCTGATTTTAGGTCAGTGCTGAAATCTTGTTTCGTGTGATGTGGGAACACTTCTGAGAAGGGGAAAAAAACCCGGCAAGGTCATTTTTTTTTGACTGAGAAGGCAACTCCCTCTAAACTCACCAGACCAACTGTTAACAGCTTCCTGTTTTAAGTAAAAGTATCAAGTATCAATAGTAAAACTAAGAGTAACGTTGCAGCCATGCACAAACCCTCCGACATCAGTATCTAAGAGAAGCAGATGCAGGCTTTCCTTCTCTGAAAAACATGCCTTGACACCCGGGGGCTTTAAGTTCTGTGTTCTTCTAAAGTTTGTTAAGTGTTATTAAATGCTCTGTTAATTCACATCACTTGTATGTCAGTTAGGGAAAGGGATGTAAAATGTTGCTGTGTTATTCATAGTGATAAAAAACCCCAATTGGTCTGTAAATGAATCAGAACGTTTTGCAAGATACTCATCTGCCAGAGACAAGTGGGATTCTGAGATTCTGAATGCTGTATTTGGTAAGATAAATATATATATGGAGCATATATTTGAACCTAACACATATACATAAAAGAACGTACAAAGTTTAATGCTGTTCTTTTGCACACATATTCTCTGCTAATTTCTGAACCTAAAATGGATTTTTGCTCCAGAGAAAGTGTGGCAGGAGAAAAAGAGCAAAGTATTAAAATGTGAGGTAAAGCAGAATTAGCCTCAGCATTTGAATCTCATTCGTAACAGAAATAAAGACCAGAGGTTTCAAAAAAAATAAAGAAAGATACATACATTGCCACATATTCCTGACGTAAATTGTGGATTATTTTGTTATTTATACTGCTTTTTCAGTAAAAGTAAAATTTATATTGCTGGGCTCCCAAGATACTGTCTGCTGCAAAGTCACACAACAAAAGTGAAGCACGCAACTATCTGTGGGGAAACTGTAAGGTGTTAGGACTTGTTTCTTACTCCAGACAAAAGAAATAGCGTGTGTGAGCATTTCTCTACAGTCACAAAATAGAAACAAATCCAAATTACTATTCTGCAATAAAAAAATTCTGCAGTGTACCTATACATTTCTGTAAAAAGGAAAAAGAGAGAATGATAGGGAGAGAGACAGAAAGGAATAAACTTAGAGAAAGAGAAGAACAGAAAGAGAAAGAGAAAAAAGGAAAAAAAACAAACACCAAAACAAATGAGAAAACACAGAAAAACAATACACAAAAAGAAAAAGACAAAAGATGAAGGAAAAGAAGAAAGTAACTAAAAAGAAAAAACAGTAAGAGGAAATACAAAGACCAAGAATAATAAAAATAAGAATAAAAAGAAAAAAAAAAGAGAGAAGGCATTTTCCATTCACCGGCATGCAGAGTGAGAACTTGCTTTTCTTGCTCTCCACAACAAGGCTCTTTAAACACCACCTACAACATTACCTTCAAATCAGCAGAAAGGCAGATTAAGTTTTCAGAGTAGCAGGACAGGCTGGATATCGAGCAGGAGGCTGATTCCAACACTTCAGTCCTAATATGGAAAAAAACCAAAACAGTTTGCCAAGTAATGACTTGACACCCGCATCGGCAGTAAATGAACAGGAAACAGCCCTTACCCGGCTGCTGTCAGAGACAGACGCCCTGATCCGTCCAAGGGTCTCCCCTCTGATGTCTCCTGCTCTGTGTCCCTCCTGCAGGGCAAATGCATTTTTATGGCTCAGGACAGTGGGGAATCCCCGTGATGCTGGTGGGCTGTGCACAAGCGCAGAACGGAAGGAGAGCATCCTCCCTGCCGGGTGTGCCGCAGGGTGTTTCCCACACCCTGAAACCCAAGGGCAGCGCACCGCACTCTGCAGCTCTGACAACCTCGCAGGCAACACTGACATAAAATAAATTAGGAAATCCTGAAAGAACTCGTGCAGATTTTCTTGCTGGAAGCCCGTTCTCCTCTATGTTAAACCAGCAGCAGAACAGAGCAAGCAACTTCAAGAGAAATTTTACAGAACCACAGAACTTTAGGTTATGAATCAGTCAAGGTGATGATAACTAAGGACAGATATTTTAAAGGACCTTTCTCAACAGAGTATTTGTAGAATTTCTTCCTCTCTCTAGTCCATCTGTTGCTGCCCGTAAGGTTTGTCCCTTTGCGCTTTTCCAAATAGTACAAAGGCTGGAAGGATACGGCAACTCCCCAGAGCATAAACCATTCACACCAAGCCGCACGTGTGAACGCCAGAAGGGCAGCCAGAGGATGAAGAGGGGATTATCGAGCCGGTTTTCGATTCCAGACAACATGTGGACACTTACAGATCACAAAATCAGGTTTCTTCCTGCGGTCTGGAAGCCAGGAGCGATGCCGGAGCCGCGGGTGGCACGCCACAAAGAGCTGCCAGGCAACTGCCGGCTGGGGAACGCTGCGCACCGCCCGCAAGGATTTTGGCCCCCGAGTTGACACTGGTATTACTCACGGCTGTTCTAAGGACGTTGTTTACAAACTGATGTTGTAAACATCAGAACTGTTTACAAACTAAAGACAATTAATTCTTCAATATGCTGACTAATACAAGGTCAAAATCACGACAATATAACTAGAGAAAGATTTACAGGTGCTGATCAATCATCTACAGAAATAGGGTGGAAGGTGGCAAGAGAAACAAGGAAACGCGCCTTCTCATCTGTCACATTTTACGGGACAAGCTTGGGCAAGGCACTTTCTTCTTTCTGTGTCTCGTTTCTCTTTTTAAAAATGAACATTAAATGCTTATGTAAAGCACTCCTAGAGGTAAACTGAGTTATGTGTACATGTGCTCATGCATGAATACACCTGTATATATCCCATCAGGGCTGCTAGAGATGAATCTACTGAAAAATAGACCCGAGATTTCTGTAGGTTGAGCATCCATCTGCTTGACTGTATCAAGCCCATGTTTCTTTGCATTCACTTCTCACAACTGTTCACACTCAGGTTGTTTGGGTTTTTGTTGAGGGTTTTTTTTTTAACATGATGCCCTTTATCACTTGATATCCCTTTGTTTAAAATATTCCAGACATCTAAGCATCAGGCAGAAATAACATGTGAGCTGTGACCCAGTGCCATGCCACAAGCTTCTACCTTGCTTCTGACCCACGACAGCTCTTCCCAAACCATACAGACAGTTGGAAGTGCTGGAGTGCAAACACAGCTTTATGTATCTTAAGGGTCAAGCTGAAAGTGCTTGAACTGAAAGGAAATTTTTTGAGTCCAAAGAACAAGGTTACACTCTTATTTGCATTTGCTGTTTTGTCAGAGTTTAAAAAAATCTGTTTGCAACCTTCCCTTTCTTATTAAATCTGACCTCTACAGAATGTGGGGAACATTAATGTCTAGTACTGTAGAAAAGAACATATCTTAGTAAAAAATTTAATTGAATTCAACTATGTCCCATTTTTTCTAAGCTTTCATTATTCAGCTTCTGTATTTCCCTGTGCTTGGAAACTGGTGAAAACAAGGAAAGGCTATAAAGGGATTGGATATGAAAAAGCAGATTTGGAATGACCAAAAGAGGAAAAACATCATTGGTTTGGCTGAGGTACAGCCATTCAGGGAACTACTTAA